CTGAATTTTAACCGGAGCATCGTGTACACTATTTTTGCTTAATACACTTTTAACGCATTAAAAGGTTATGAACCTCTGCTTGCCCAATAACTCGTTAGTCTACTATCTTAGGCTTCATGACAGGCTTCAATCGAAAAGATATGCACTTCCCGGCATTTTTTAATAAACTGCGATCGTTTGCTTTGTTCACTGCTCCGTGCGGTTTCGTAGATGAGAAGATTCGATTTCTGTGGAGCTGGTGTAGAGGTACTGATAATAAAATAAAATAAATATTTCTATATTACATGACAAACCGACAAGTCTCAAACAAGTAATAGGTTAAGGCTTTGAGAATGCTTTCAGGAAGGAACACGAAACTGTTTTTATTTGTTCAACCGACCGGCTGAAGACCCAGGAGACGGCAGTACGTTACCTGGTTCACGCACCTTGAGGTGTGTGCTCTAGATTCAGATTATCTCCTACTGAATCTCAGACGTTAGCACAAGATTATGAACGTTCGGCGACACTGTTAGGCACTACTGCCTCTGTGACTCCAAAGAATACAGATCATTGAAGTTGACTGACTGGCTTTCAGGCTATTCAGTGCTATACGTCGAAAAAATTGTCATGTGCTTCGGCCCGTCTAGTCACTGCATGACGTAAAACTTGTAAGATAAACATAAATCAAAACATCCTTGAACCGTGAATTGCAAACTTTTCAATCGTTTGCTAAGGTAAGGAACTTGGATGTTGATTTATTGATTGCTCGAATCTGCAGCTTAATTAGCGCAATCAGTTTTTTCGAGTTTTCAGCATATTCAGTATCCTCACGTTATTTTATTATCCATCAATAGCCTTCAATTATTCGTTTACTGCTACCGCATCGATTAAATTACGGAACCAGAGTAAAATTCCATTATCAGTTAAGAACGGATGGATTGTTATGTAAAGACATTTAGGAGAATCAGGGGTATCTTACATTGCCATAATAATCAGTTTTTTATGAGAATTTAATAAGACATTTCATATGAGACAGTTTAACTGTTTTGAATCACGTGTAACATGAAAGAAGATTAAATCACTGATATTTAGAAAAGCACACACGTCAGAAACTTTTTGAACTGCCTAATTTATCATACTGACTGTTGACTTCGTTTCATTTTTTTTTGAAATGAAGGTAAAGGTTTCCCCTGCTCCATGACTTAAACATGGTTCTAGAAAGCTAGTTCAGGTCTGTAGTAAATAAAAGCATTGAATTACACTCAAGCGCATGATTCATAAAACTGTCTTGTTTTGCTGCAAAATGCTCAAAACACGTTGCAGCATGCACTTTAAATATGAGACATATTTTTGGCAGATTACCTTTGAGTTATCATGAAGCGACCTCATCAAAGCTTCTTATGCCAATTGACCGGAATTGATTGCATATTTTAACCGTTGCAATGACGCTTAAATGAATAGGTGGAATGTCGATTTGCCTTGCATTTTCATGACTGCGAGTAATCTGGATTCATCAATGAAATTAATCGATAATTTGATAAATCTTCATTAGCAACTTTGAGACAATACCTGAATATCAAATAGATTATACTGATTTACGAGATTTTTGAATTTATTAGACTTGCCTGACAATAATTTATTCATCATTTCAGCAGTAAAGGCAGTCTGTGTATTTTTCTTTTAACGCAGAGTTGTAAGAACCAATATTATGTGGTGACCAGTTCGATGATGAGCGCGCTGCAGCACATTTTTCTCATCTCTTCATATCAGTAACTTGCTAGATCAACTTGAACTGGATCTGAGTCGATTTTTCAGCAGAACTGTTACCTCAAGACACCGACGCCCCTGTCGTTTCTGACTCATCAGCGACAAGCTTCAGAGGTACTCGAACTTTGTTCAACGTTATGACACAACGCGATACTACTTGGCTTTTCGAAGACTTAAGATAAACAACAATGCGACTTAGTGTCCTACAGACGTTGAATATATTTGCTGTGCTAACCGTAGCTTTCATTACTCAAAACTGACTTTCAGTTGGCATTGTTTATTCACCATTCAGAAACTAGTTTGAAATTTTAAGCTGCGCTGTGCAGCAGGTTTGTGGCTTACTCAGAAAGTTAGCTAAATCTACACTGCTCGGCGCATCTTACATGTTTGAGGCTGAGTCCGCGTGACGATTGCGCCCACTAATACTAAACGCGTTGCCATAACTGCGGGAACTCACTCATGTGAAGTTCAGCGACGCAGAACCTTCGGGCTTTCAACATTTTCATTAGCAAGAACCGCCTCAAGATGAAGACTTTCATCGTTGCAGCGTTTATGGCAGTCTCTGTTTTGAGCATAGGTAAGTAGCTGAACTTACCGTAGATCATTGCTCTGTTTGAAATGAACGAATTGTTACTACATTTCGTATTGGAAGCAACTGACTTCATGACTGTCCTTCAGATCGCAGTTTCCGTTAATGCCAAAACATGATAACCGGAACGAATACGTTCCCATAGGCAGCAGGCAAGTGGCTTTAATCAAAATTTACGTTGTAAGAACATGTGCTCGAATCTAAACAAGGAGTAAATTTTGTAACTTACTGCAAATCTCATCCTTGTGCGAAATGATTATTACAACTGATAGAGTCTGAAAAGTTATCCAGCGAACAGCCAGACTAGAGTGACAATCAAAACATTTCCCTAGAACCCGTGGATCCTAAACTGATAACATTTTTGGATTTACACTTTACGTTGATTATATTGTTGGGTAGTGAACTATCGGGTGAATCAAGGCAAATTGGAGCTCGAGTAGATGCTCGCACCAGACAGCATTGCTTTTCCTCACCAATTTTAACATGACTGCTGGTTGCAACTAAGAAAACGAAGTAAATTCCTTGCTTAAGAATTATCAATGAAGTGAATATTTATCTGTCTAAAACATGGCACCTTCGGAATTTAAAGCAGACCTTTAATCACTGTGCAACTACTACCATGATTGAACTGCTCAAGTCAAGCTCTAGTTATCGGATTCTTAAGCAAGCTAAGATTGCATGCGTAAAATTAGGTTAATGTTCAAGAACAACCAGAAGCGATTCAAAAGAATTAAATGAAACTACAGCTATATTTATGGAATCACCCTTATAAACGTGAAGGTAAAATAAGTGGAATTTAAAACATTATGCTATTCACAGGGACAAAAATCCACGTTGTATTTTAATTTGTGAAAGAACCATCTGACGAACTCAATAACACCCCAAAGTTTGTACCTGACTGAAAAGTTAATTCAAACTCATGCATGATCATTTCGACAGCGGAATTTCAAAGCAGGAAGAAGCAGTTATTAACATACTTTTGCTGTCCATAAATGAGATTTCTTGAAGACCTCTGTAACCGTTGTCGTTAAATCTTTCTAATTTTCTTGAGACGCTCTAACCGAGTTTAGAATCGACAAACGCATGTAAATATTCTCAATTAGCATATGCGGAAAATTAGAGCCAATTAAAAGAATTGCTTTCGTTGTGGGTGAAAGCCATTAGCTCAGGTTATCGTTATTTTTAGGCATTCTCGCCAAAGTCCGATCAGAAAGATTTTTACAAGGGTCATTATGCAATATTGTCATAGACAACTTACCAATCTCTGATAATGAAAATTCTTTCCTGCAATGTGCGCCAACTGGCTATGGGTAACAATCGGCAATGTTCATTTGCCACAACTTCATGCTTATTCTTGTTGTAGTAATGATGGTTCATGGGAAAGAATTTCATGCCCATCGGGCCAAAAGTTTAATTACACACTGCGAGCATGTTACAACCAAGGCATGTCTGATCAAGCTACACCTGAGCCCCTAAAAACGGGTTTATTACTTCATCGAAATCTGCCAACGTTATGCTTCAAAATTTAGCAAATATTAACGAAAGTTGCGCGGTTATCAGACGATGCACTGGAGGTTCATTTTGCGATCCTGAACTGCTAATTTGCATGTGTCCTCCGGGATTAGTCAGCGCTGTGGGAAAGGCAACATGTTCTTGGCCCTTAAACGAATTGAATCCCATCACTAATAACTCGCCAGAAAAAAAACGAGCACAGCTTGGAGGTATGCTTCTTGTATTTGCATTTGACCTGTATCTTCATTATGCTTCCAGCTTCGCCAGGGAGCAGTTGCCGAAACAACGAACAGTGTCTTGGTGGATCAGCATGTGACTCAGGAACGAATGTTTGCATGTGCCCGCGAGGCACGGTTGATCACAGTGGTCAATGCGAAATCTTTGTAGTCGGTACTTAACAGCTTCATTTCAGCCGCTTACTTTCCGTTATCTCAAGTACTAAAGGAAGACGATGTATAAATCGCGAATTCGCGAATGACCTGTTCATTAGTTTTATTACCATAATCAACTTGGTTTAATCACAACGAACAGTGGGAGGTCAGTGGAAGATAATATTGCCGACTTGTTGGCTGTCATCCGAACTACTGACAGCCTACAACCGCAATCCGTCTCCAATTCGTTGTATGCATTACATTTTTGGTCATTTCCTAATTACTGATAAATGGATTAATCATGTCTCGCTGCGTGCAGATATGCCCAGTTTTCGCTTTCCAATGCTACTCTTTCTAATGATGAAAACGATTTTCTTTTCCCAACATGGCCACTAGAGAAATCAGTAAAATTGGCTTTATTCTGAAAATTGCATCAGACAGTTCAATTCCTGGTATCTGATTTGCTCGTCTTAAATACACCGTTCCCCTGATTTTATTCACTGGGGGAAGGGGCAGGCATTTGATCACCTGCAGTTGATTGAATTCATGACCGCATGTATGAGTCGGCTGACCAAAGAGCGCGTTTGAGCACTAACTAGATCTTCCACTATCAGTAGGGAAATACAGAGGCAAAACCAAACCTCAGTATTCCGGTGTAGGAACAGCATAATAGTTTCCAATTCCGTCAGTAATCATTGTGTCTCAATTTCTGATACCGGATTTCCTCAGAGTAGGTGCACCGCTCCAATGCTTTCAGTTGCCTAGGAGGACAATTTCAGGAGGTCATGGCATTTGAACACCTGCGTGCATTGTGTTCATCTCTAAGTTGGTCCGAATAAAGGCGCATTAGAGTACGAACAATCTATCGTCTATTAAAATTATTCCAATTCAACTGTTCTCACAGCCCTCTATTTTTTTTCAGATAGCATAGGTAAGCTATAGGAGAATTTCTCAATGATTTCGAATATTCTTCAATTAAGTTCACTTCATAGTTCGATTCCAAGGCGTAACAGTGCCAGATCTTTGTAATATTTAACCGTCTAACCCTCGGTATACTTCTTAGACTCCTGCCAAGTGACTTTGAAAAGAAATTCCTATTTAAGAGTACCTTCTCTTGCCTACTGATCACATGACCAAATCGCCAGTGGCAAAACCAACTTTCTCCTGTGAACTCCGCTGTTTCTAGGAATGCCATAAATTTGTCTAGAGTGGCATAACTCGTTTTCAAATCAGATCATGATATTCTCAAGGTATGTCTAAGATGCTTAATTTTCAAATTGTTCGAGGATTTATATCCAAAAGCTTTAACTTTCTTGCTCTAGAAAATCAGCCATCGTTTCTAAAGACATAGCCGAGGTCAAGAAGACAATAGCCAAACTTTTTGGATTATGAAGAAGATGCTAGCTCTTAGAGTGAAAATGAATCAGGCAAAGAAGCAGTAATTGCCTCCCGCAGTCTGAAAGGCAGTTCATCGCCGTCTCGTTCTCGTTCACTCAACCAGAGCTACAGGCGGGAGAGGAAACTTTGACTGAAGGGAGAAAACAGGAAGATTAATAAGACAGTAAGAGAGGTTGACTGACGAACATTGTTCAAAGTGGCGCGAAAGTTGTCCAGTAAACACGAAAATTGGTCTGTCCTTATTCAAGACGCTAAGGGTGTCCCATTCGCATGTCAGAACGGACACCTCAAATAAACGGTTGAGCATTTCCAGCAGCTGCTCAACAGTTTCTCTCCAGACTCGTCACGTCTTGCCGTTAATTCTCTACAAGTATTAAAGTGATTAATTGAATACACATTCACCCACGAAACTTGAAATCCAAAATGGCTTCCTGCAGCTCAAGGTAAATAAGCCGTAAGGATAGATCGAACTCTTCCGGAGTTAAGGAAATATGGAGGAACTGAAATGGTACAAAAGCTTATGTTCTGTTTCATTAAACGTGGGCCTACGAACATCTCCGTGGATAATGAACGTGTATCGGATGATGAAATGATTGTCCCTATATTTAAAGGGAATATGATGTTCCAATTATCATGATATTACATTACTGTCAACACCGAAGAAACTTTTCTCCAGATTATCCTGGAAGGGTTTAGGCAGGCAGTTAATGGGAGACTTCGCCCAAATGGAACAGGCTACCAGGTGAGGTACTCCTGTCCCGATCAAATTTTCAGTCTTGCCATGATCAGTCCGCAATGGGGACGATTCCAGGTGCCTTGGCTTGCCAACTACCTCAGCTTTGAAACTCCATCGATCAACAACGTGGAAGATCTGGAAATGACATGAAATTCTTGAACATATGATTTCTATTTTGGAAGAGATGCATGATGGAATAATGTCTGTTCTCAAAGTTGAAGGAGAGCTGTCTGAGTGGTTCCCTATTAACTCCGGAGTTCGCAGGGCGACATGATTTCGCTTTTGCTATTCAACATTGCCCTCGTCTTTCTTATATGAAACAGTGCTGACCCTGGCAATGTCGAATGCCTGATATTAGTTTGAAGGCGCAGTTTAAGCTACCTGTCTAGATATCCTGCTGACCTGAAGTGTGCACATGTTATCATCCTGCTAAGTGCGAGAAGCAGTCCATGTCGCCTAACTGTTTCCGCATGCAACGAAGCTGCGAAAGCAGTTTCTTCCCTAACTCTAAAAAATCAAACGTTCTTATGAACTCATCCGGAACAGCTGGTCTACAAATGAAACCAACTTAAGTATCTCAGCTCCATCATCTCAAGCGATGGTACTATCCACTCAGAGCTAAATGTAGCGATCTCCCTAGCCTCGAGTTCTTTTAGAAACCTGCCCAGTAGTTGGACTGAGAATGTAGTTTTTCTTCCCACGAGAATTCGTTTGTACCTTGCCTCTGTAAGGTCGTTCTTATTGCATGTCGCGAGGACAGTTATTCTAGAAGAACAGCTAGATCGACGGTTGGACTGCCTGCAGTCCGTTGGAGTTAGATTATGGTTAAATTGCAAGATCATGCATAGGAAAACTCTATTCTTTTTGTGGGCACAGGTTACCTCCGTAGATGTGAAGATTGAAAGCAGACTGACTCTGTTAGACTCTCTAATTGACCAGTACGACTTACTCCAGTCCGTAGGCTTCTCGTCGGGAAGCCGAAACACGATAGACGTAATCGGGAGGTTAGCATGCATCGTAGAGGAACGATGCGGAGGCATATCTACTTTTGAAGAGGAACATTTTTTTGCGCTATATCGGCCGGTGCTTTATGGCAAAAGCGCTGAAAATCTACAAATATACATGAAAAACCAGAGACGATCTGCTAATGTAAACGACTCAGGGCGACGATCTCAAGAAACACGTCTTCACAGAATCAAGGTAGATGCGAATAGCAGTAAGTGCGATGACATGTATTTTCGCTAAAAGCTTAGACCAGCTACATAATTTCTCTAAGACAACAAAGGAGTCCACGTTTCAATTTTTAACTGAACCATCCAACCAACCTCCGACTCGACTTTTAGTCTTTCAATTTAGGTTTGCAACTGAGGTATTCTTCGTCTAAACGGAACCCCTTTAAAGGAAATCATAAATCAGAGTTACACCTTTGTGCCGATTATTACACTGGATCATCAGCTATGAGGTAGGTCAAATCAAACTGCGGTCACATAGAACGCTCGCATCAGTCGATTGTGTAGTCCATTCTAACACGAACATACCAAAATACCATGTTATTCTTGTTACACATAAGTGACCGATTTTCTTTCCTTTTCCCCGCGGGAATCTCGCAGGCAAATTGAAGCAGATTAATTCCTTGCTCACAGAAATTCGCGCTTAATATCAATACTGATCACTTGGTTTAGGATAACACTTTCCAAATATTCCGTTTTCGCTGTGCAGTTGAAGATGTTGGTCTTAACTAGCTCTCTACGGCGGAAAATTCTTCATGGGTTTACGAGGCGCACGTTCTCATTCGTAGCGTTCAATATATGGAAGGAGTCTGTTCCAGACTCCATTTATGTTTTGCCGAAGCTTAGACTCTGGCACAGGATCGGGAACGTTGGAAGCTCTTTCTGACATGTCTGCCTCCGCGACCCGAAAGGAGAAGCGGCGATGGAAGATGATGATGCTGAAGATGAAGACGTTCTCATTGCTCAGTGTCAGGATCTTGAGACAAAGAGTTAGATTCCTTGTGTTTCTGCACAATCAGTCAAGAATGGGTAGTTGGTTTACGGATTGAAAATAATTTGAGAAATTACGGTGTGCTAGATATAGCGAAACTCGATACGTTTGCTGCCCAATGCATGTGCTTTCAACGGTTACTTCTTCCTCTGCCTACAACTGTGGGAAGCAACGTTACATCAAAGTTTTGAGGTTTTGGAACTAACCGAATGATTCAGGAGTAACACTCTAGATGTCTATCATGCTATATCGGAGGGGGCGTTCATAATTCATGTACTGCACTCTCTGATCTTCAT